TTGCAATGAATGAATTATATTCATTAATCAAAAAGAATGAAGGTTCGTAAATACAATAATTAATTACTTTTTTATAATCTTAATTTAACCAAAAAGATTGCCCTTTAACTTAGCATATATATATATACATAGGAAATAAAAAAGAATTTAATCCAAATTATAAACACATAAGCAAGAATTAATCATTGTGAAACACAAATAAATATAACATAAAAGGAAGGCATATAACTCATTCTACAAATATAAGCTGATTAAAAATAAGAATCCAAATAAATTTTCTTTGTTGATTAAATAAAGAACATGTATTTGCTATATTATTTCTACATATAAGAAACAAGATATAGCACAAAAAAGAGAGGAAAAGGAAAAGAAAAAGACTCATATATAGATTATAACCATTTTACATATGATACTTCTGCAGTGAATGAGTACAAATTCAAAATGAATAACTTAGTAATAAGTTTCATATATAGATGCAATAAGCACTGTGGTGCTAATTGCACCAATAATATGCATCATAGCCCTTGGCAAGATTCGAATCCCAACTTTGTATGAATAATTATCCATCCCTAATTTCCAATTGCCTTTTAACTTATAGCATATGAACAAAAAATGATTTTTAACGAATTATAAAGAGGCATGAAATCCAAAGAGCAACTTTTGCGCCAGGCATGTACTCAACAAATTCTACAAAGTCATTAGAGAAAATTGCAAATACTAAAATAATATATACCGCATAAATTATTACATGATTTCCTCTCTTGATTCATCCTTTGAATACGCTCTTGATTCTTTCTTTGAATCCTCTCTTGCTTCTTTCTCTGAATCCTCTCTTGATTCTTCCTTTGAAAAATCCTCTCTTGCTTCTCCTCTTGACCCATCTGAAAAGAGTGTTGGACCATCATTTTACATGACCGATAGAAGTCTCCGATCTTTTGTACGAACGATCGAGGCTCATATCCTTTGATGACGTATGCCTTCACCCATATGCCTTGAATTACAATTTCAATCGATAAAGAAAGCATTCAATAGATTAAATCAATCAAGAAGAACAAACTTTAAAAAAAAATGAAAAAAGAAAAAAGAGAAAAGGAAAGACAGATGGAAGAAAAACCAAATAGGTTATGAGAGTTGTGAGGAAATCTAAGATTAAATTTGTTTTTAGCCAAATAATTATTAAATATATTAAAGGAAAATTATTATGTTAAAAATTAAAGAGAAAAGAGAAGCAATACTGACAGTCATATATCAACGATTCCCAAAATGAAAGATTAATTCCTCTGAAAAATGGGGATGATGTTTTAGCCAGTGTTAAAATGAGTGGATTGGAATTTGAAGAGCAATTGTTAGACTTGTAAGACGCCAACTCTGGACAATGGTGGAGTAGATCAAATGCAATATCTGTTATCAAAGCTTGTAAAAGTAAGAAAAATAACAACATAACATAATATGGGAATGCCAAAAATAGGAAGTTTTAACAATTAAAATATTAGGAGCAATAATAAAAAAAATTAAAATATTTTTAATAAATTAATACTCAAAGAAGATTTATTAAACATATTTAAATAATTTTACATGTAATTTTGGTATTTTAAATATTAAAATATTTTAATTTTAATTTTTCTTATATAATATACCGTAAGAAGACGAAGAATTAATTAATGTTAGAGTTCTTACCAAACATTTTCCTAGTTATACACGCTTGGAGGATGTAGAAGCCACATTCTTCCTTTAAAAACTCTTGTGGAGTCTTACGGTACAGATAGCCTATCATTTTCTCTTGAATTGTGCTGCAGGCCAATTCGACTGGGATCTTTCCGTCTTCGTCTTCGATGGTAAGCAAATTTTGGTTCTTTCTAACTAATTTTTTTGCAATTGATTTCCCGATTCCGTAACGAGCAGCAATGGAAAGTGCCGTACTCCCAAAATTATCTTTTATTTCCAACTGGTCTAGTGACAAGTTGGAATCAATCAAGTAATCAACAATTTCTTCCTGCCCATTATAAACTGCAAAATGAAGAGCTGTGTACCCATTTTCAAAAATTATTGCAGTTGCAGATACTGCATTCGAATTTTCTCTAAAGAACTTCTTTACTTTCCACAGCTCTCCATTGGAAATGGCTTCAATTAAGGTCTCATATTGCGACCTTTCAAGATTTCCAGGCCCTGCCAATGACAGTTGTATCCACAATAAAAACAACACTCTCATCAATTCTTCTCTGTATTATAAAGATAAAATAAACATTACAGATAAATTAGTCAACCATCAAATCTGAACCAATACCTTAAAAACTCAAACCGGATTGCAGTCTCTCCAATTAACAGATGCGAAAAAGAAAAAGAAATTAAAACAGAGATGGAATAGAATAAAACCTGTTCGCCTCTCTGGGTGGCGCCCAACAGTTTCCTGATGGACAATTTGGGGCTTGTGCATATCAGCCAATGCATCCCAAACTTCTTTAGCAGAATCCTTCTCCTTTATTTGATTGAATATTTCCTTTCCACATGAAATCATAATGGCATGAAGAGCTAATGCATTTTTTTTCGTCCACTCGCTACTCATTTTTCCTCCAGCAGGCAACTGGTCTGGTTGAACAACATTCCAAAGATCTTGACCCAATAAATAGTACCGCATTAAAATGCTCCACCTTTTGTAGTTACCTCCTCTAAGAACTTCAGGGACAATCACATTTGTATGTGTAGCAACTATTTCCATCTTCGCCCCTATGAAATATTTAATCACATAAAACTATTTCTGTTAGTGTCAGCATAAAAAAATGAGATAGATGAACCAAACGAGTGTGCTTCCCCAAGCGGCAGCCGCGCGAGTCCTAATGAAACTAGAGAGCACACCGCCTGTTTAATTTTCAAAACTCAAATGACAGTAATGTGATCATATCAATGCGGCTATATATATATATA